GATGCAGTACTCCAACTGCGGTCTGACCAGTGCCGCATAGAGGGGGAGGATCACCTCTTTGGACCTGCTCGAGATGCATTTGTGGATGCATGACAAGGTGCGGTTGGCCTTCCTAACTGCCTCCCCACACTGCCAGCCCATGTTCATTTTGGAGTCGATGATGACTTCAAGATTCTTTTCCGCCTCAGTGCTGACAAGAGGGGAGTTCCCTAACCTGTAGGTATGGTGCTGGTTGTTCCTTCCCAGGTGCATCACCTTGCACTTGTCTGTGTTGAATCCCATCCTATTCTCATCCGCCCACCCTTGCAACCTGTCTAGGTCTGATTGTAGCCTGTTGCTTCCTTCTAGTGTGCCCACGTCCCCCCACATCTTCGTGTCATCAGCAAATTTGAACAGGGTGCTTTTTAGAGTCCTAATCCATTATTCTTTTACCTGGGATTGGTATCAGGTTGACATTAAATACACTGTGGACCACCTACCTAGGCAGTCTGATTTATCTTTTTTAACTATTTTAACTTTTTAACTATTGGACCAATGGTAGGTGTGCTAGGTCTTCTGAAACTTCCCCAGTTTTCCATACTTATTGAATATCAACATTAATGATCCAAAGGGCTCTGTCACCTCTGCAAATTATGTAGATGTGCTGATGTGAAAGTGTCTGGCTTTACTGTGGAAACGAAACACTGCACCATCATTTGATAACCTGGATACATAATTGGGTATTTTCCCCAAATATGGAACAAAAATATGAATGAATGATTCTGATTTTTCTGTATTTTAATTGAAAATGTTACTATTTCCATCTAGTAGAATAATAGAAAATTTGGATGGGAAGGGACCTCAAAAGGTAATCTAGTTCAACCCTCTGCTCAAAGCAGGACCATCCTCGACTATATTTATCCCAGCCAAGGCTTTGTCTAGCTGTGTCTTAAAAACCTCCAAGGATGGAGACTCCTCTGCCTCTCTGGGTAACCTGTTTTCTTGTGAGAAAGTTTGTCCTAATATCGAACCTAAATTTCTCTAGTTGCAGCTTGAGCCCATTGCTTCTTGTTATGTCATCTGCCAACACTGACAACAGTTCAACTCAATCCTCTTTGCAACCCCCCTGCAGGGAGTTGAAGGATGCTATTAAACCCCCTCAGTCTTGTCTTCTCCAGACTATGTAAACCCAGTTCCCTCAGCCTCTCCTCAGAAGTCATGTGCCCCAGCTCCTAACCATTTTTGTTGCCCTCTGCTGGACTCTTCAATTTGCCCACATCCTTTCTGTAGTAGGGGGCCCAAAAACTGGACATGGGACTCCAGATGTAGTGTCACTAGTGCTAAATAAAAGAAGAATCAGTTCCCTTGATCAGCTGGCAACGCTCCTACTAATGCAGCCTAGTATGCTGTTAGCCTTCTGGGTTGCAAGGTCACACTGCTGGCTCCTGTTCAGCTTATTGTCCACTGTCACCCCCAGGTCCTTTTCTGTAGAGCTGCTACTTACCCAGTCAGCCTCCAGCCTGTATCAGTGCATTGGATTGCTCTGTCCTAAGTGCAGGACTTTGCACTTGTCATTGTTGAACCTCATGAGATTTCTTTTGGTCCAGTCCTCCAATTTGTTGAGGTCTGTCTGAATTCTAGCTCTACCCTCCAGTGTATCTACTACTCACCCCAGCTTGGTGTCCTCCACAAACTTGATGAAGGTGCATTCCATCCCATCCTCCAGGACCTTGATGAAGATATTGGAAAAAAAACAGGCCCCAAAACTGACCCATGGGGCATTCCACTTGATACTGGCTGCCAGCTAGACGTCGAGCCATTGATTGCTACCCTTGAAGCCTGACAATCCAGTCAGTTTTCTATCTACTTTACAATCCATTCATTCAACCTGTACTTCCTCAGCTTGCCTGTGCAAATGTTATGGGAGACTGTATCAAAAGCCTTGCTAAAGGAGGTCAGGTATCCAGGTTGTAGCCTTATTGGTCTAGAAGCAAAAGGATTCCTTTTGCTAAAGTCAAGGTATATCAAGTCCATTGCTCTCCCCACATCCACAGAGCCAGTCACCTCATCATATGATGAAGGCAATCAAGTTGGTCAGGCAATGGGCCAATAAACCTCTTTTAAACAAACAAACAAGCTCTTTGTTGCATTTCCCTTTGACTGTAGATTTCTCGTTGTGTGTTTTTATTTCTTCCCTTATTTTATCCAGTTCCTGGCTGTTAATTTATATTCACTATCAGTGATCACCTACTTCCTCTTTCTTCCTTCAGTGTCTAACAGGGATGTCAAAGATATGGCCCATGAGTTGGATCCTAGCCTGTGGAGCTCCATCGTCCAGCCTCTGGTGCTGCCCCTGGATCTGAGTGAATCCATGTATGACATGCTCTGGATCAGCTCCAGGGGCAGGGTCTGAGATGCATTTTGTGTGCAGCATGTGCTTTGGTAGATCAGGGATCTGTGCTGCATGCAGTGCCTGCCCCATCTGGACTGTGCTTCTTGTGGTGCCCTTTTTGTGAACTGCACTGCATGCCCCCGTGCCCCACCCCAGCTGCTTCAGGACTGCACCACATGTGGTGCCTACTCCAGCTGGTTCAGAGCACCGTGTACAGTGCACATACTAGACTGGCTGGGGTGGATGCTGCACATTCTGCAGCATTCTGCCTGGCTTGGTGCTGTGTGTAGTGTGGATCCCAGACCAGCCTGAGTGGGTGCTGTATGCATTAGATCTGGTGTGGGGATTGCGGGGTGGTCTGTGGGCCTGATCTGGCCTACAGACCACCCACATGCTAGTCCTCCAGCACACAGGGCCAGGTGAGTCTGACCCTGTTATATGACTTGTTTTTATAGCTGCTTTTACTTCCCACTAACTCATGCTGGTGTTTTAACCAGTGTCACCTTTTGTGTCCTCAATTGTGGAAAAGTGTTTGATAGGTAAATGTTTTAAAAAAACTCCCAGTAAATTTAAACAGAAAAATGTAAATGATTTTTCCAAACTCATTGTTTTTAGCTTTCTGAAACTTTCCCCTGTAAAGCATCAGTTGAATGCTGGATTGGATACTGATTCAGTTCTGGCTAGCCCTGGTTGGTTGTAAGCTCTTAAACTTTAGAATTACAACATTCTTCACATCATTCAGGTACACCTGAGATTAAATGATTACAATTACAACAGGCTTTATGATGCGGAAATGGAAAATTGGCTCATAATAGTTTACATTATCAACACAATAAAAACTTATCTACCCACTGACCTAGTAGCCATGACTTGCCAAGCCTTAGAATTCCTGTTGAAAGTGTGACAGTGTCTCTGCTGCCAGGTTTTCTTATGCAGTAGTGACACACATTGGTTGCATTCTCAACAGGCGACTTCAGGCCATTTCTAGCTTCATTGGCCACAGAGTAGTTCGTGCTTCTTTATAAGAAAGTGATCAGTATTAGTATTACTGAATGTTAACATGCAGTGCTTATGCTTTCTTATTGGAAAGCAGCTGAATCACTACCATGTTATTACTGTACTGAAAGGTAATCTGGGATAAACTTGGATACTGTTCCTTGCTTAAAACCTTGGTCTTGGCATGCCGTGCTGGTCCTTAAATATAAATAGCTTATAATACAGCTGCACATGAGAATCAGAGAAAAGATGAAATATTTCTATATAAAGTGTCAAAATTGTATTGCAGCCATGAAATAGTAAAAGAACTGTGTGTTGAAAATGCATTGGAATGATGAAAGAAACATTTGGGGTTTTGCTATGGTGTAAAGTTAATCTGTGGCAGGGACCCATGGTAGTAGTAGGAACTCCTAAAAGCATTGGTCAGACAGGCCCACTTCCTCTGCACATGTCATTCCAGTTACTGCACCAGTTTGCTTGAGGCCTTGGCCCAAGTGGTCTTGGTTTCCAGGGAAGTATGAGGTTTGCCCTGGTGCTTATTTATTCGTAGGTGTGCAAAAAGGAATAATAAGGCCCCTTCTGTGTACAAGGCCAGGCACAGCTGGGCACAAGGCCTCGTAAAATACAGGCAGTCCTCAACTTACAGCGTTTCGAGTCGCAACGTTTGACACTTACAAGGTTTATAAATTGACACCGTTTCAACTTTATGACGTCAGTTTCGACTTTACAATGCCTGATCCGATGCGACGCCATACCAGCAAACAAGTTCACTGTGTTGCTCATCTCCCTAGAGAACATCTGTCCAAACTTCCTTGGACACTTTCTTTAAGAAAGCAGACAAGACTCCAGAAAAACCTGCAGTCAAGACTCCTGAGAAGACTCCAGCCCAGAACCCTTCAAAAAGTCCAACCAAGAGCCTTTCAAAAAGTTCAGCAAAGTCACCTCAAAGGAGTCCTTCCAAATCAATATGATTGCTGTTTACAATATAAATACATTTATATAACTATACTACTCATCTATAATTGATTGAGTACAAAATTCTGGGGTATTTTTGTTGAAAATAGAGTATCGGACCTTGGTTCAGGAAGCAATCCCCCATTTATAACATCGTTTCTTATGAGAAAATTGGTTCCAAGTTGCAACATTTAGACTTAAGACACGGTTTTCAGGAACCAATCATGTCGTAAGTCCGAGGACTGCCTGTACTTAAAACTGAAAGTAGGTTGTTCTGTCTAAAATCATGGAGCAGAATATGGAATGAAGGTCCTCATGGCAAGAGACGGTGGCTAAAATGACATCTATTTTCAGATTGTAGTGGAGGTAGTGTGATTATTCCCTGAGGATTTGTTAAAAGAGGAAATTCATAGGGAAGTTAATTTAAAATTGATAGGGTATGATTTTTAAAGCAAAATAACTACTTTGCGCTGGACTTCTGCTGAGGGTCAAGTTTCGGGGGTTTACGCAGCCAGTCAATGAGAGCTGCAGGGAGGGAAGGAGTACCAAGTATCAGTCCTATGGCATGCAAGCTGCTGTTCCTGCTGTGGCTGCATCCCAGGCTATACTGTTGTGGCACCCAAGTTAAATCAATGCCTGGGGCCTATGTTCCACTCATACACCCCTTGTTACTGCCAGCAGGGCTGTAATGGGATTCCCTCATCCCAGAAGCATCAGTTGCTATGATGGAAAGCATTGAGGATTGTGTTAGGGAGAAAAATCCCAAGGCAGAACCTTTAGAAGAGAGTTTTCAAAATCTACTAGTTAGCCATAACTCCTACATCTAAACTTACTGTCACTGTTGGTGGAATATTAAGGGGCCATCCAAATCTCAGTTATACAAAGGGGGAGAGCCAGGGAGGAAAGTCTGAAGGAATGGAGAAAATGTTTGGTTTTAGATGAGTCGTAAGAAATGTTTATTTTTGCTGAATAAAAAATTGATTCCTAAATCAACCTCATGCTTTCAAATAAATAGGCAAAATGATCAAACTCCTTTGTGGCATTTGAACAATTTTTGTTTGTTTTTTCTTGCATTATTTTTCCTCCTTTAATGTTGAGATGTTAACGGCTAATAATTTTCCAGTTTTGTTTTTGTTCCAGAATACAGATTATACCCCAGGTACATGGTGCAGAACAGATGTGCACTTGGAAAATCCAGAGTATCACACCAGATGGTATTTCAAATATTTCCTAGGAAAAGGTAATTAAACTTTTGTAAATAGCCTTAAACAATTGTAATTATTTAGAAGTGCATGGTATGAACTTTGATTGATTGTATTAAGGAAACTCGCACAGTTGTATTAGAAGGTGGACTGGTAGACCATATCAGGCCTATGCCTCAAAGTCTTTATAATCTGAAAACATACCACGTACAATTATAGAAAATTAGGGTTGGAAGGGACCTCAGGAGGCAACCTAGTCTAACCCCCTGCTCAAAGCACCGCCCCCAACTAGATCATTCCAGCCAGGGCTTTGTTGAGCTGGGCCTTAAAAACCTCGAAGGATGGAGATTCCACAACCTCTCTAGGTAACCTGTTCCAGTGCTTCAAAAGCCTCCTAGTGAGTGTTTTTTCCCTAATATCCAAGCTAAACTTCCCTTGCTCCTACTGGAGACCATTGCACCTTGTTCTGTCATCTGCCACCACTGATAACAGTCCAGCTCCATCCTCTATGGAACCCTTCTTCAGGGAGTTGAAGGCTGCTATTAAATGCCCCCCTCAGTCTTCTCTTCTGCAGATTAAATAAACTCAGTTCCCTCAGCCTCTCCTCAGAAGTCATGTGCCCCAGCTCCTAATCATTTTTGTTGCTGTCCACTGGACTCTCTTCGACTTGTCCACATCCTTTCTGTAGTGGGGGTCCCAAAACTGGATACAGGACTCCAGTTGTGGTCTCATCAGTGCAGAATAGAGGGGAAGAATCAGTTCCATCCATCTGCTGGCAATGCTCCTGCTAATGCAGCGCAGGATGCCGTTAGCCTTCTTGGCAACAAGAGCACATTGTTGGCTCATATTCAGCTTATTGTCCAGTGTAACCCCCAGGGCACTTTCTGCAGAGCAGCTGCTTTGCTGGTTGGTCCCAAGCCTGTAGTGGTACACGGGATTCTTTTATCCTAAGTGCATTTGTACTTGCTGAATTTCATGAGATTTCTTCTGGCGCAATCCCCCAAATGGTTGAGGGTCTCCCTGAATCTTAGCCCTCCCCTCCCCCAAGCTTGGTGTGTCATCTGCAAACTTGCTGAGGGTGCACTCCCATCACATCTTCCAGATCATTAATGAAGATATTGAACAAGACAGGCCCCAGGACCAAACCCTGGCGCTCTCCAGTTGATACCAGCTTTCAACTAGACCATGAGCCATTGATCACGGCCTGTTGAGACTGATGATCCAGCCTGCTTTCTGTCCATCTTACAGTCCATTAATCCAACCTGTACTTCCTCAGTTTCCTTGCAAGAATGCTATGGGAGACAGCATCAAAAGCCTTGCTAAAGTCCAGGTACATCAACATCCACTGTTCTCCCCACATCTACAGAGGCAGTCATCTTGTCATAGAAGGCAATCAGGTTGGTCAGGCATGACTTGTGAATCCAGGCTGACTGTTCCTGATAGATCACTTTCTTTTCCAAGTGCTTAGAAATGGATTTCTTGAGGACCTGGTGCATAATTTTTCCAGGGACTGAGGTGAGGCTGACAGCTCTGTAGTTCCCTGGACCCTCCTTCCCTTTCTCAAAGATGGGCACTATGTTTGTCCTTTTCTAATTGTCTGGGATCTCCCTTGATTGCGACAAGTTTTCAAAGACAATGGCCAGCAGCTCTGCAATCACATCAGCCGACTCCTTCAGCACCCTTGGGTGTGTTGTATCCAGCCCCATGGACTTGTATACATCCAGCTTTTTTAAATAGTCCCTGATCTGTTCTTTCACTGCTGTTCTCTGCTTACCTCTTCCCCAAACTGTGCTGCCAGGTGCAGTAATCTGGGGACTGATGTTGCTTGTAAAGACCCGAGGTAAATAAAGGCACCGAGTGCTTCAGCCTTCTCCTCATCTGTCACTAAGTAGCCTCTCCCATTCAGTAAGCGACCCATCCTTTCCCTGACCTTCCTCTTGTTGCTGGTGTGCTTGTAGAAATCCTTCTTGTTACCCTTAATGTCCCTTGCTAGCCGTGACTCCAATTACACTTTGGTCTTCCTGATTTCATCCCTGCATGTCCGAGCAATATTCTTATACTCCTCCGTAGTCATCTCCAAGTTTCCACTTGTAAGCTGCTTTTTTGTGTTTTAGCTTACCGAAGAGTTCTCTGCTAAGCCAAGCTGATTGCCTGCCATATTTGCTATTCTTGCTGTACATCAGGATGGTTCATTCCTTCGCCTTCAGTAAGGTTTGTTTAAAATACAGTCAGCTCTCCTGGACTCCTTTCCCCCTTATATTGGCTTCCCATGGGCTCCTGTCCATCAGTTCCTGGAGGGAGTCAAAGTCTGCTTTTCTGAAGTCCAGGGTCCCTACTCTTGTGCTCTCCTTACTTCCTTTTGTCAGTCAAGATCCTGAACTCAATCATCTCGTGGTTGCTGCTGTTCCAGTTGCCATCTACTACTACATCCCCCATCAATTCTTCCCTGTTTGTGAGCAGCAGATCAAGAAGAGCACAGCCCCTAGTTGGCCGCTCCAACACTTGCACCAGAAAGTTGTCACCAACACTCCCCAAAACTTCCTGGATTGCCTGCAGACTGCTGCATTGCCTTCCCAGCAGATGTCAGGGTGATCAAAGTCCCCCTTGAGAACCAGGGCCTATGATCAGGAAACTTGTGCTAGCTATTTGAAGAAAACCTCGTCTACCACTTCCTCCATGTCTGGTGGCCTATAGCAGACCCCCTCCCCACCCTTGTTGCTCTCCCTTCTAAGCTTAACCTAGAGACTTTCAACAGATCTATCTCCAGTTTCATACTGTTGCTCTGAGCAATCATATGGCTCTTTTACATAAAGCACAGCTCCTCTTTCTCTTCTCCCCTACCTGCCCTTCCTGAACAGTTTGTACCCATCCCATAAATACAGTTCAGACATACACAGAGCAGTATATTGTCACAACAACTAATTATTCACTGTACAGACTATACAGCATGAACTCTAGAGCTGATGCTTCACTAGGTAGGGTGAATCCTAAAATCCGCAGTCTTGTCATATCAGACCTTTCTGCAGTAATTCTGGTACCACCCCTTTTCCTTTTGGTAGAAATGTTTTATGAGTGGATTTTGAAGTTCTGTTTCAACTTCTGACCCCTAAGAATAAAGACATGTGCTTGAAACCCTTGCCTGTTGTTAAAAACTAATGTAATTGTACCTCACAAAAGTTGAACTTTGTTTTAAAACGGATTCAAAGTTTAGGTTTGATTATTTTGGATTTGTATTGGATTATGTAATCCCTTGGAATTGTAAGGATGTAGTTGGATAAATCAATAGGCCCCTCTCAGTTTTTAAAGTCTAATAATTATAATCATACTGTCTGTTACTATCCCATAATTTGTTTTATTATGCTATCTTGTTTTAATATTATTATTGATTTAATAAGATATTTTGCCTTTTGTCATAATAAGCCTCTGTGATCCTTTTTTTTTGTGCAGGGTGGCATGTAAGTCAAATAAATGAGGAAAAGGACTGTAGGTGGCATAGTAAGGCAATAGGTTTTAGAGGGAGATGAGACCATAGATATAAGTGAAATGAGGAAACAAATTGGATTTAAAAAGTAGTAGTAGTAAGAAGGTGGTGGAGTTAGTGGGGCAGAAAGAATGGCAAGTGACTGTCCCCAGAACGTTGGGGAAAGGTGAATGGCAGGAAATCAGAGAAGAGTTTGCTTTGATCATGTGAAGAGATTTGTACAGCAGTTTCAGCAGTGGTGCTATGAGTAGGGGGATTTGTGTAAAATACTGCTGGAATCCTAATAATAATAAAGTCCCTTTTGTAAAAAGGAAGTTTTCCTTATAATTTTTTCACATTTGATAACATTTTTCATGTTTTCTTTACAGTTCATCAGAATTATGTAGGTACAGATGCAGAGAAGAACCCTTTCTTTTTGTCTGTTGTACTCTCTGACCAAAACAATCAACGTGTCCCTCAATACCGCTCAATTCTCTGGAAAAAAACAGTAAGAAACAGATCCTAATGACTGCCTGTCTGAACTTCCCCTACAGTGCATTTCCTTCTCTTCCATTGTATCACAACATCCTTAACATTACTCCTTAGCTACCATGTAGCAATTGTCACAGATACTGGACTAGCAAACCCCAAAGGAAATATGGAAAAGCTTTCTCTGAAGGAACCGTGCTACGAATATTTATTTTCTGTCATCTTGGTTAAGTTCGCCTACAGGAAGCCTTTGAGTCCCCTAAAGTCCAAGCACTGTCATTATGGTTAACAGTGCATAAAACAGAAGAGGGGAGAGATGCTCTGCTCCAAAGAGTTTCCATCTAGATCTGTAAATAATACTAAGGGTCTAAACTGTTTTGGTCCATGCATAAGTGGGCACATTATAAAGAGATTTGAATGTGCAGAGGATAGCTATGTGGCTTCAGTGACAAGAATGAAGAGGAGGGCTTATGGGGCAGCACTCAAGGAGTAAAATGGGAAGGACACAGGGAGAGTGTTTAGTAAGGCAGTGTGGGAAGAGGGGAGCCCTGAAGGTGATGACAAGAAGCTTATTCTTTTTTGCTTCATGCTGAACTTCTAGACCTCGGATCTTGTACTACTGAGTGCCAAAGTCTAATGATGTAAAATATTTATTTATGTCGTATCACTGATTTTCTCTTTCTTTTGTATTATGTGGCAGTACAGAAGCACCTGAGCATATTACTTTAGCTGTCTACATATATGCTTTAGCATGTTTCCAAATTAGTTATTTTGGACTTCATGGTTCAAGCTGCTCCCTCCAGTGGCCATTGGCCTGAACTTGTCTGCAGTTTAATTTCATCAGCCCTCATGCTGGCCATCAAGTGCTGTTAGTTTTGTCTGAAGTTCTTTGCATCTCTCTCTAGTCTAGACTTGCCTAAACCATTTTGTGCCATCCCCATTTTTGGCATGTTACTCTTCCTTATCTCTTTTCACGTCATTAATAAAGATATCTAAGTAAAACCAAAGCTGCTGTGGCTCATGATTATTTTCCTTTTTTAGGTTGCTAAATTTTAGTAATGTTCACAGTTAAATATATAGAAAATGTCAATATATTTGATTCTAATGTCTCTTAGTATTTTTTCCTTTTATAGGGTACTCAGAAAATATGTCTACCCTACAGTCCCACAAAAACATTATCAGTGAAATCTATTTTAAGGTAAGTATTCACCAGTGAGTTATTAAAGGTATATGTTGGTGTTTTCTTTCAGTCATTCAAAAACTCTTGTTAATATATTTTTCATTATAAATGTAGAATTCAGTGAGACAAAGAACACAGTTCTTAATCAGAGAAGGTACACATGTATACAAAAGCTTTCATTATAAGTGCTGAAGAATGCAAAATTGTGTCTCCATGGTAATGTGTCCAATTCTAAATTCCTTTGGGGAGAGAGAGAACTTTCCAGTTAAAAACTGAAATTGGAAAGTTGATGTTTGAGAGAAAAGGAGAAACCAGGCCTAGGAAACTGCAGTTTAGGGGAGGACTCAGACTATGTTGTAGGTAAGTGGAGGGCCAGGGCAAACAAACTTTGTCTAAGTCCATCCCAGCCATGTAGCTGGTCCAGTAAAAGATATCCACAAAAATCCTTGCCCCTCACATATTTCCTGGAGCTTCATGGCTACAACAAGACTTCAACATTATCAAAAAACCAAACAGTCTCTGGGATATCACCTGGCATTTGGGGACTTTTTTCTTCAGAGTTACCAACTTTCTGAAAGTTGAATCTCCATTTAGGGATTTAAATCGGTTGCAAGCTCTACAAAAATCACCCTGTGTCTTTAATAGGCTTAACCATCTTAGCGTATGTGTCTTCTACCCACATTCCCAGCCTGTCACCTAGTTACCTGGGATGCACTAGTTGATAGTGTTACTGTTTAGAATATATATTTTATCTGAATTAACACTTTGGCAGTTCATGTCTTTCAGAGCTGCTATATTGTTTCAGGTTCTCTGCAAACTTTACTACATTAAGTATACTTATCATTTTAAAGTTTTGTTTTGTTTTTGTTTTTGTTTTGTCATGGCCACAAGAGCTAGAGCAGTGATTCTCAACTAGGGTGTCACGGAATCCTTTTAGGGATGTCATGCAATAATAGCAGTGTCAGTTGTGCAAACACCTACATGATTCACAAGATGAAGCCAGAGAGTTCAATGTGGTGTCAAAAATATTTTTTTTGCAACAGAATAATTGCTGTTATTTTTACACAGTAAAGAAGTGAGCCAAAGCTAAGAGTTGGTATTTTCAAAGGGGTGCTTTGAGTTGAAAACGGTGGAGAAGTACTGAACTACAAAGTAGCTGTTTAAAAAAATATGAACTGCTGAGGTTCTAAAAAACAAAAGTGAAGTCTTTCTGTGTCCTATGTTTTCCATTCCTCCCAACTAATTCATTTTGCCTTGAAAGGGCTTCATCCCATCTGTATTGAAATGCTTTTTGGTTGGGTAAATTAGAACTAGAGATGATGTATAAAATTGCATATAGAGATGTTGATAACAACAAATTATTTTTCCCACAAAAGTGTAACTTTTTCTAAGTCTATAACTTCTATATTTTTCTGCTTTGAGGTTTCTTCTGTTTCGCTTACTATTTTTATCTTTTTCTATATTTTTTTGGTTTTATTTTGAACTTTCCAAATGCTATTTTACAAGAGAGCGAGGAAAAGTTTACCAAAAATATGCATTATTACGCTGTCTTAAAAGGATCAGTGTGGTAACATTTAGCCTAGAACTTTACCTGCAAACAAAATAAGGTTTAAATTTGTGACAGTGCAATACCTTACTAGTATCTTTCTCTAAAGGTAAGGCCACCCAAATCTGTTCTGGAAAAGGGATAAGTATCTATGATAAAATCACATAAATTTGGTATATATCACCCAGAAGTCCTTGGTGGTCTCGTAGTTACAATTTGGTGCTCTTTCTGCTGCAGCCTAGGTTTGATCTTTAATCAGGAAAAAACTTGTGATAGTTAAGTGGCTGCCTTATGGAGTTTTTAGCATCACTACCATGAGATGTTTTTAAAGAGTGGAGTAGAAAATTATCTGTTAGACATTGTCTAGGTATACTTTATCATGCCTGTATTAGATGTCCCTTGGAAGTCCTTCCATCCCTATTTTCTGTGGTTCTACAAAGATAAAGATTCGTTTAATTCCTCGTGCAAAGGAGCACATCATTAATGGCCTAGTATTGAAAGTATCTATGCCCTTCTACAAAAATTATTTTTGTTGTGTTTCAGTGCCATGAGCCTTGACAAATTTGAAAAAAGCCCTAGAGAAATTCTTCACCCTGAGATACAAAAGGTAAGCAAGAGCTCATATTTTCCTTTGATACTTTGGACTATAAATTATTTAGAACAGGACTGTCCAGCTAGTGGCCCATGGGCTGCATGTGGCCCACAGAGGATTAGTTTCTGGCCCCTGGCTTGGCTCCCTCCACCTCTCTGGCTGCAGCAGTAGCAGTCACAGGCTCCAGGCTCCCTCTCCCTCTGGCTTCTACTTCCTACCTTATCCCAGGGGTGGGGCAGAGCGGTCTGGCACAGCTCTCAGTCCCAGAAAAGCTTGTTGTGTGAGAACATGGGTGTGGCCTAGGAAACTGAAGGTGGGGCTGGGGTACCTGGGCCCACCCATGCAGCGCAGTGGGGGGGCAGGGAAGTGCCCACATGTGCAATGCCTGTGCTGGTTTGGCCTCCTCCCACAGCAAGTGGCCCCTACTGTGTGCCGTGTGGGCCCCCATTCACTAAAGTTGGATGGTTTTGGTTTAGAAGAAAAAATAAGCCATTAAACATGCACTTTACTAGCTGGTACTCTGTTGCAGTAGTTCATGATGTGTTTGTTCTGTGGTATTGCAAAGTTTCTTGAACTGCACTTGTTCTGAAGAAATAGTTTTACATTTAAAGGTAGTGAAAATAAAGCAGTTACACCTTTGTAGATCATAATGCTAAACATGCTGTTCTCTTTACAGGATCTACTGGTTCTAGAAGAGCAAGAGGTAAATACAGACTGAATGCTTTGAGCTCACAAAACCCACTTAGTGGAAATTTTCTTTGTATTTGTTTACAATGACTTAGAAAGCTCAGTTATTTCATGGACAAAGTACAGTAGTATGAAGTACTTTGGGCATCAAAGCTGAGGATTTTTGTAAGTACCCTTGTGCATGTTGAGGTGCAGAGTAGAATCTTGATGTGCAATTTGGATAAATGAGGAGAGTAAAGTACAAATCTGAGTAGTTGTGTAGCACAGACTTATTCTTCTGCAAGAAAGAACTATATACAAATCTTTAGTGGAAAAATCATAAAGGTTTGTTTTTTAATATTATCTGTGTTGCACATTGTCTCTTTTTTCCCCCTCTCAGGGCTCTGTAAATTTTAAGTTTGGAGTTCTTTATGCAAAAGATGGGCAGCTTACGGATGATGAAATGTTCAGCAATGGTGAGTCTGCATTTTTTTCACTTTTATTCAAAATAACTGAGTGTTTTGGTTTGCCACCTTGGAAATACAGTAGGAGCACACCTGTATATTGAACATGGAGGAGCCAGAAAAGAGGTGGTCATTAGCGCTATGCTCATGGTAGGTTTGCTCTGCATTGCAGTAGCCTGCAGAATTAAACCACTGTAAGGATGAGCTGGTGTTTATGTGAAATGTGCCTAAAATAGTGGCAAAAGTGCCTGACTCTTTCAGTTATCTTGGCACAAAAACACATTTCTGATATTGCAAATGTATTTTATTTACAATAAGCTCTGAAGATATTTGTAAATTACTTTGGTTCAATAGAACAGTTGCTAGATCCAATTTTCAGAGCTTGAGATTGTTATTGAATAGATTTATAAGAAATAACTCTAATTTCTGAAACTTTTTTTTTTTTTTTAAAGTATTCCTGTAAATTTTTATATTCATCCCTTGGCAGGCTTTTGGGTGTTGCTTTCATTATATTTTTATGAGGCCTATATGTTTATATTTAATTTTAAGTTGAAAAATATTGGGTTTGAAAGATTGAAACTTTGACCCAATTCTGGTCTCAGTGCTGTTTTCAGTTTTTGTTTATAATTTGTATGCTCAAGTACACAAGCCAAATTTTAAACAAAACCTCCATAAGTTTTCAAGGATTTAAGGATGTGGCTATTGGGAACCAAAAGGTTGCTTGCATTTCCCATTTTATCATCCGATTCGCAAGACTGTACATCATGATGGCTATCTTTATCCCATCTTGCTCTAGAATTAGCAAGTGGGGAGTGTTGTTTAATGAGGCTGAAAATGGGGCTTTTCTATAGCTACCCATTTGGATGACATGAAGAAAAATGTAGGCAACCAGAGTTTTAATTCATGGCCATACTCTGGGGTGTATTACTCTACTCTGGGGCCAGTGCCTTAGACGCAGCTAAGTTGTAGGGAGAGAAACTGAGGCTCTGGTCATGGTAAATAATATCATGCAAGTGTTCCCAATGTAATGACTTCAGATCAGATGGTCACATAACTCATGTTGCATGCCAGAGCATGCCCAGGGGTTAGACCCAGTGTCCTGTATTGTGGACAATCTGCAGTTGTAGCCATCTCACCAATTAAGTTTTTAATTCCTAACACTTTTTTTCTTTCATCTGTAGAAACTGGAAGTGAAAGTTTTCAAAGATTTTTAAGTCTCATGGGTGACACAATTACACTGAAAGGCTGGACAGGCTACAGAGGAGGGTTGGACACCAAAAGTAAGATTTCAGACTGTGGCTGGTTGCATTTTAAATGTATTGTTACTTTATTCAAATACTAAAGAAAAAAATTGGTAAGAAATGATAGCGATAGACTTAGGACTGGACTTATTGTAGTAAGAAGGCTTTGTATTTTCTCTGTGTTGAAAGGAGTTAGAAATCCTCAGTGAAGTATGTATAGAAACCATAGAGATCCTCAGCAGCAACCAAACATCCACATAGGTATTTAAAATGATGCCTAAGACCAGAAGGAATGCTGCTAAAGAGCTGTTAAAGCGTGGACTCAGTTTTTCAGATTGGTGACTGGACTGGCATGTGTATATCATGTAGAACAGAGGTGGGCAAAATATGGCCTGTGGGCTGAATTTGGCCCACCAGGCCATTTTATCTGGCCCATGGGGCCCCTAAAATTTTTAATATTTATATGCCTCTGATTGCCTGTCAAAGATGACAGGAGCCAGTGGTAGTAGGGCTCAGGAGGAGCTTGGTGGCAGGACCCAGTAGCAGCAAGGCCTGCTGAGGCTTCTGGCCTGGGACCCTGGGGCTGTTCCCTGCCTCCCTCATCCTGAGAGGGAAATTCAGGTAAGAATGGCACAAGGACATGGAGGATCACCTACACAACAAGAGCCAGCTGGGTCCCGTTGGCACCGTATGGTTCCCAGCTGGCAGCTGCGTGGTACTCCTGATGCATCGCATGGTCCCAACCCTGCAGCTGGAACTGCGTGGTGCCGGAGCTGCGGCTGGGGGGGAACAGTGGCGGTGGGAGGGGAAAGAAGGAAAGCGGCAGGGGAAAGGCAACCCAGGGGCAGGCATGGGGTTTGTGGGGGTGGAGAAGTGGCAGTGGGTGGGAGTATGGGGCCCTGGGAGTTGGGGCCAGTGGCAGGGCTGGCTCCTCCTGCATTTTGCAATTTTGGCATTGCAGCCAGGCAGAGGTGACCCGAGCAGGGTGCAGGGCCTGAGGCAAATCTGCCCATGCAGGGCCCCACCCCCACTCTGATCCTGGACCTGAAGAGGCTGCCGCCATTGGGGCCGGTGGGGGAGCAGCAAGTGGCTGGATATGGAGCCGCCGCTCTGCCCAGCTCCGCACTGCTGCTGCTCCTCCCAGCTCCACAGGGCCTGGGGCAGTTGCCCCGATTTGCACCCCCCCAGGGATGGCCCTGCAGCCAGGAACAGCATGCTGCCGAGAGGTGCCTGGCTGCGCCGTGCTGCTTGGTTCCTGGCTGCAACGCTGGAATCACAGAACGCAGCAGGAGCCAGCCCAGGCCTGTGGTTCCCAGCTTGCTTTTGCTGCTGCCTCTACCATGGCGTGCCTGCATCTCCCACACTTGCAGTGGTTGAAGCCCCACGCAGGACCCTGCTGCGTTGCCTGCCCCCTGCTGCACAGGTCCCTAGACTCTGCCTGGAGTGGAGGGAGTCCTGTCCCCTGCTTTCCTGTGGACTCCAGCAGAGGGCTTCTCTTGTGGGAGTGTGGGAGCTGCAGGTGCGTGATATGAAACCCCCGTGATAGAGGCGGCCAGGCAGGCTGTGATTCTCACCCCCGCATGTAGCACTGCCCGGAGCCGTGTCCTGCCGGGCGCCAGTGCCTGCGCTGGGCATGAGCTCCCTGAGGCCCCCTACCTGCTGCTGGCAGCAGAGCCTGTGTGCCATGTTGGGGAATGTGTGGGGGGAGTTCCCCACACCCCACAAATCTCACACACCCACACGCTGCCCCTACATCCCCCACTGACACATTTACACACCCTATGCCCCCACACCCCCCCACCATATACCCCCCAACACACAATATAAAAGTGAGACTTTATTTTTGAATTACTATGCAATCCCTTCTATATACAGTACACAAATCATTCCAGTTACTTTTTGTAATAAAATTAAAATATGTTATAGTAGGTGTTTGACTTCTAGTGTATGATTTGTGTTTTTTTCTGGTTCTAACATGGCAAACCCCCTCCCATTTTTGGGGGGCAAGGGGAGGGACTTCTGGTGGCAAAGGTATGGGGTTAGTGGGGCAGACTTCTGGTCCCAATATGGCAACGAGGGGGTGGGGCAACTGTCAAGAGGCAGAACTACCCGTGCAGCCCTTGACAGCTCACAAAAATTTGTTAAGCAGCCCTCCAGCCAAAATAATTGCCAGCCCCAGTGTAGAAGGTAGAGTAGATTTGCACCTATAGACTAATTTAGAGTCATCTCTGTCTCTCTCTGTCTATCATTATAGATTGATACATTTAGTTATATCTCTAATATATATAGCATAAAGTTTTTGGCAGCTGGAGCTTACTTCATCAGGTGCTGTGAAAGGGTGCACAGAGCCAACATATAGAATGGAGATTTCACTGCTGACTTCAGCATTGTTGTTCTTAGGCAGGAAAACTTTAAAAACTGACCTGAAAGGGAAATTGCAGAACAAGAAATTGCCAGACTAGATGGTGTTAAATCTGGTTTAAACAGGGATTACAGATCTGTAGCCTCAGGTTCAGGGCTTATATATCTGTAAGGACCTTACCTAGAAACTCTTTTGTAGTCAGTTTCCACAACTATACTCTCTACTTCAATTTTTTCTTGCTTCCTGCTATGTTCTTCTGAATCCATTAGTTTACTGCTGTTTTGTCTGCTTTTCCACTCTCAACTTAGAGCTCTTTTTCATTCTGTCTTGTCTACTTGAAATACTCCTCTTTGCCTGCCAAGAAAACTACCTTTCCTTCTAATCCACCTCCAGCAGTCCCTTTCCTCTTAACTTTCCTTAGATGTCTCTCCCCCAAATTGCTGCAGAGTGATTTGACTTGATCTATTTCCATTTTAAGATCCTCAGGGATGGAATATTTGGTAATCTTTATAGAGTATAGTATACATTTTTATGGTAATTAAAAAATAAGCTTTAAATATTTTTGTTTCTTTGTTTCTTTCTCTCTTTATTCAGACCCTTTGCTTTTTTCCCCCACACCTGAATTGGAATCAGCACTGTTCTCGTTCTTACACTCCCATGGCTGCCATTTTATACTTCCTTAAAAGTTCCTTCAATACTATTCTTCCACTGTGTTGGGGGAGGGGGCGGCAAGCATGGGCAAGCATCTTAATATGACACCACACTGCCTTTAATAGGGCATTAGACTTCTGTCCTCCAGCATGGGTACAGCATGCGTTCCTATCCCAATATGTCACTATACCTCCTCACGCTGTCTAGAATAGGGGTCAGCAACCCCCCAAAACACGTGCCAGAGCATGGCATGTGAGACATTTTGCTAGGCATGCCACAGCCAACCTGGGCTCTGGGCAGCTGCCACTGGGTATGGAGCCTGGGCTGCTTGGAGCAGGCGGCTGAGAGGCTGCAAGGTGCTGCACCAAGCTCTGTGGCTGCTGGACACATGACTTGCGGCAGATGGTGGGAGAGGGGCTGGGGTTGCGCTTCCCTAGGCCCTTTCCTGGCTGTGTGCCCTGAGCTGCAAGTGCAGCTGCTATTGCCATGGAAGCCCAGCTGGGGTTCTGGAACCCAGTGCAGCCACTTGGAGTCTCCTGGCTACCTGTCACAGCTGACCTGGGTTCTGGGCAGTTGCAGCAGACAGTAGGGAGGCTGCAAACAGCTGCACTGGGGTCCGGAGCTCTGTCACCAGCTCTGTAGCAGTGGCAGGTGCACATGCAACTCGGGGCATGTGGTGGGGAGGGGGCTGGCGCAGCACAATCCTGGCTCCTCCCCAGCTTTCTGCCTGGAGGTGCGCGTGTACCCGCTGCCAGCATTGAGGAGTGGTCCCCCTGCTGCTTGCCTGCTGTCTGTCTGTGGCACACCAAGTCAAGGCATGAGTCACAGTTGGGGTGTTCTTGACCCGCCGGCCAAAAATGTTGCCAACCCCTTGTCTGGAATTTGAAGAATTTCTACGATAAAAGCTTAATCCTTTTTAGGGTTGTTGGTTGTGCCTGAAGAAGTGTTGGTTGTGCCTGAAAGCTTGCAAAGAACAATTTTTCCAACTATTTGGTCTGTCTAATAAAAGATATCACATCTACCCAAAGAACCTTGTCTGCCTATCATCCTTTTTAGGTCTTGCAAATCTGTGTTGTTTCCTCCTGGACTGTGTCTTTCCTATCGTGAACAAGGCCCGTGTTTTGTGTTATGGTAATAGAATCCAGGTTGATAACTAGTATAACAAATTTGCATACTCTAAAAAGATTCAGATTTAGATGCCATATTTTTTTACATTCACCATGCCCCTGGGTTAGATGCACTGATTGTTTTTTTTTGAAAGGCAGAATGAAGAAAAAAAGATCTGTCTTTGAAAATAGTGGTAAGTACAGTAGTCTTTTTCCAGTTGAAATATTCCATAAGGGTAAGTTGACTGGACCTACTAACAGGCATATTCATTTTGATAAAGCTCTACTTTTGATAGTCTGCCTTTATGTACAATTTAAGTTATTCAGTATGGGAAAAACATAAATGACTTCAACCTATTTTGAAAAAAGACAATAAACTAGTATGAGAGGGTGAATTGGAAAAGGAATTGATCTGAGGATGTTCAGTAATAGGATCAAAAATTCCTTTTCCCCCTTGGCTGCCAGCATTGCATAATTCAGCTGAGAGTACTTCTTTTTTATTGCAGATGATACAACAGGAATATGCTCTGTCTACACAGTGTACCAAGGGCATGAGATTATGTTTCATGTTTCAACAATGCTACCATATTCAAAGGAGAACAAGCAGCAAGTATGCAATTTTCATATTTATTTTTCTTAGTGAACCTCGATACCACAGACTTTCTTTTTTCTTTTGGTTTCTCAATGATCTTTGTTTTTGAAATGTAAGATTAAAATCTCTTGATGATTCAGGCAACCACATTTATGCCTGATGGTGCACTCCATCCCAGCAGAGGGCAACAAAAATGGTTTGGGGCTTGGGGCACATGACTTCTGAGGGGAGGCTGAGGGAACTGGGTTTATTTAGTTTGCAGACTACTCAGAGAGGTTGTAGAATCTCCATCCTCAGATGTTTTAAGACCTGGCTAGACAAAGCCTTGACTGGGATGATCTAGTTGGGGATGGTCCTGCTTTGAGCAGGGGGTTGGATTAGATGACCTTTTGAGGACCCTTTCAACCTTGATTTTCTACGATTCTATGACTGCCAAATAAGAATGGTTACACTTACATGGCATGTTTCATCTCAGGGTTCCAAAGTGCTTTGCAATGAACAAAGTTCAATTCAAGAGCTGTTTATGATGCCCAGTTGGCTAATGTCAGAAGCCAGTACTATTTATTTCCATTTTTAAAATCCACCACCTGCCTTGGATATCTCTTGCTATATTTGAAAACAGCAGTATGCTAAGAACTAAGAAGGCTCTAACTAGAATTCCTGTTTTGCCACAGGTAACTGTCCTCTTCTACCACCAGCTCCTGTTTCTGTTAATGAGACTACAGTTTGAGCACCTCAAAGTAATATGACATAGGGAGAAAGAGTCTACAAAGCAGACTGTTTGTAATGGTTGAGGTTAGAATTTAGAACCAGTATCTTGAAAACCACCTGCAAACCAAGAACCATTAGTGTAAATCAGAGAGCACTAGTGTCATATACTTCCAGTAAGAAACCTTCCTCCAGTGCAAGACTGAGCATTTACGGAGCTCTTGCACACTAGGCAATCTGCATATGAACAGCTCCATACAGGGAATGCACTTCTGATACCTAGAATGGCTGCTGGAGGCTGTGCTACCTTCCTGGGTGCACACAGGAGGGGTGGAGTCCATCCCTCAACATTGCTGCTTAGCCAAAAGCTAAAGGTTTAGTTGTCAGATTGATACTTCATTAGCAGCTGTGATGGGGTTAAACCTCTGGCAATTGCTGAACAGCAAGGGAGGGGCTAGTGGTGCTGACCAGTAGCCTCTGTCCCTGCTGCCTACGGCCAGTATTCAGCAATGGCTTTGGAAAAATCATTTCTTTTTCATTGTGCCTTCTCCAAACAAGCTGCATGACTTATCTGGGGAGCAGGATGTGAGAACATGCAGTAACTAATCTCTAAAGCAAGAAATGAATTGGGTTGCAGCATCTCTTGTGGCTCAGTCTGAAGTTCAGCAGCGACTGTCTAAGTTTAGATTCGTGGTCCTGCAATTCAAGATAATGAAATCTCATTTTGTTTAGACTTTTATTGTAATGGTCTATGAAGTAATTGAACGCATGTATAGTCCATGTATTTGGATGTATGTCATGATTTCTTGTCCTTACAAATGGGATTGAAAATTATTCTAAAATGTAAAAAAGCTCCCAGTGCTCTGAAATTACTTCATTGTTTCCATAGAAGGTATATTCACCAGCCAGTAAGCCAGTGTCTATAGCCAGCTTGTTTGAATATTAATGATTGTTATATTTACATATATGAACATATTGATAGTACAGATAAGTTATAATTATTGCTGCATATAATTTCTTTTGTAGATGTGTAGTAATTCCAACCTCGTGTAAATCCTGTGCATTTTTCCAGTGTTGGAGTTTTCATTTTATTTTTGCCTTAGTTAAAAAAAAGGAAAGGAACAGAATGGTGTATTTTTATAAACGGTTCTTCCATGGGCTTCAGTTTGCAGCCAACTGCCATTAGAAAAAAAACCCCATAATCTTTATCAGTTTCTCTGTGAATCATCGTTCTTTTGCTGTATTGTTAAAGTTTAGGTTTGCATTCTAGTGATGGTGTCTTTCCTTTTTCAGGTAGAAAGGAAGCGGCATATTGGAAATGACATTGTCACTATTGTGTTCCAGGAAGGGGATGAATCTTCTTCAGCATTTAAACCATCCATGATTCGCTCTCACTTTACACGTATCTTTTTTCCTTCTGTTTTTTGTATTTTTACATAACTAAAGCTTACATACAAGCCGCCTTTGGCTCTGTTATGGATGCCAGAGCTCAGCTACCACCGGGGGCTGCACTTTGTTGATCCCATCCCCTCTGCAGCAAGGGTGAGCATAGACACAGTGGAACAGCAGGCTGTGCAGCAGAGGGGATGGGTGCAGCGGTACAGCAAGGATTTAGCTTGCAGACTAGTTTGCCGACCCCCAGTGCGTGCCATTTACAGACTTTACAAACTTTTAAAGGAGGACTTTCCCACCATCCTTTACAGATTTCTTGATTTTTATATTCCCAAGCTGACCTTGTGAAAATTTTTCCAGAAACATTTAAGAGATCTGTAGCTAGAGTACAGATGGTTTCAAATGTTTCATATTTGGTGGTTTCAAATTGTACAAATGGTTTTGTATATGTCGCTGGGGATTTCTTCAGACAGATTCACCAAGAGAATTCTATAAGTATCTCATAAAATATTTGTTCATAAAATTATTCTATTTTTGATGTGAAAATAATTTGCAGCATCTGCTAAATGCTGTCCCATAATACCTAAAGATCAGCTGTTTGCTTAAATTGTGTATTCCATTCCATTGAAGTAAAACATGCAGAATGATCAGTGACATTTCTATGCCATGATATGGCATTGTGGTTTATAGATGTTAACGCAAGGCAGGGAGTCAGGAATTCCAGTTATGAGTCCTCGTTATGTGGTTTATTGTTGTTATCTCTTACTTCTTGTTCCACTTGTTTGTTTCATCCATTTGTTATGGGGTTTTTTTCTTTGGTTTTGTTTTGGTTTTTTTAGATTTCTGTGTGTGAGGGAATCTCATTTATCATAGGTCAGTAAAGTGGCTATTGCAGAAGAGATCCTACTTTTTAGAGGTCTTTAGATACTTCCATAATATAAACATTAATGATGCTGGAGTTGGGCAAGTCATTGCATCTTTCCAGGCCTTGGTTGCAACATTTGCACAGTGGGAATGCTGATTCTTGCTGCTTTGTCATTGGACAAGTTGGCTAACAAACATTGAAAACAGCATTTATCCCTTGTTTTGAGATACAGATCACACTCGTGTCTCAACGAGCAGGCTGATCCCGCACCAGAATCTACTATAGAATATGGACATGCCCTGGTGCTGAAGCTGCTAGTTCTTTTCTGACCGTGGGTAGTAATTGTGTTCCAGCTTCTTATGTACCAAAAACTAACGTGCACCCTTCTTCTCATTATAGTGTTAGTGGAGGAGAGACAGATTTTACAACAGTACCTTTTAGAATGAGATAAATAGGTTCTGGAATGTGTTAGTGTACTACTCACCCTAATAAGCTGAGTCTGAACATATGTGATTACATCATAGCAAGGTACCTCCTCATGCAATGTGGGATTTATTTCCCTGTTGGCATAACTCCCCAAAGAGAGAAAGGAGTCTTGCTTACTCCATGAAGGTGTCCTAAATCACATTGTGTCTCAAAAAATGTTCTTGGGTTGGTCTAAAATTCTGTGGGCCCCTCCTTTCCAGTCCAGATCTGGCACTTCCCTCCAAAGTCACTTGACTTGGCTGTTTTTGCATTCAAGGAATGTGTTGAAGTTAGGGCCCTGTGTCTACAGCTCTTTGTTATCATATGGGATTTGATTTAATACTCATGAAAAACTTGTTAAAAAGTTTCCTTTGTATGATATTAATGTGATCCTGGCTGACCTGCTGAAAGCTGTTGAGCCAGTTGACGTTAGGTCAGAATTTTTACAGGGAATGGTGTTTTCCTAATGGAAGCAACTTCAACCGTCAGGGTTGGAGCATGATCCTTATCTTTTGCTGAGCACCTGCATCTACCAAGTATGGTAGATGCAGTACCTTCTCTTAGGATCAGGGCCTAGTTTCTGATCTGTGTTATACTTAATTCTTTCAAGGTAAGTTGAAGCTACAGATATGCCCTACGTTATTTTCCAGAAGTGGTGCTAGTGTTTCACATTTCTCATTGTCTTGTTCCTATTTCCACTAAGTAAAGTGAAAAAATGCAGTTATGTAGGTGTGTAGCTTCACTGTTGGTAGTAATTTGGGGTCTATAGTGTATGCAAGGTTAAATGATCCTATACTTTGCGGGGTTTGGAGAGAGAGAGAGGTAAAATACCTTAGTCCTGTCTTTAGGACAGACTCCAGTAGCTGCTTTAGAAGCTTTCCACTGGAGAATTACAGGTCCTGATTGTCTTAGTTTTGGCAAATTCCACAGTCTCATGGTGGGAAAAAAAAAGGCTCCTTGTTTTTATCTAGAGTTTCCTTAAGCTCCTAGAGTTGCATTGGATTTATTTTCCTTGCCACTGTTTATAGTTTAGAAGGACTGAGCAATGCAGAGGTTCTTTCAGGTTGAAGAAACTTGTTGTAGTAGTAAGACTTGCAGGAAAGCTACACGGTGCTTTGAGGGCATTTGTTTAGAACCCACCCCATGTCATGAGTCAAAACTGGTGGTAGATCATACTGCAGTTTTGGTACTTTATCTTGTTATCCAACTTGGACCTATGTTAATAAGGTTGGGTCAGAAGAATGTCAGGAAAGCTGTGTTTTAGGGAAAAGTTACGTTGAAACATTATTTTTTTTAAATCAATCACCTATGTGGTCACTGTAGGCAAGGAAGGTTTTTCTTCATCATTAAATCCAAGCATGATTAGCTAACATGATTATGAGCGTAACTTGTCTTTGTCTCTGCTGACCAGAGTGTTGTGGTTATTGTTGTATTAGTTAGCTTGATTGCCAAAAATAGTGTTTAAATGCAATACCTGTTCCCTCCCAGAATAATATACATGCATAGTATAGAATGATATAAAAAGTAATAAAGTGATTTTTATATTTAACCACACCATCTGACTTTCAGCAAAGTGGATATTTACAAAATGCAAGTAAACTTCATATCCATGAAAACAGTGGATTAATTTCTTTAACTTTCATGGCAGATATTTTTGCCTTAGTGAGATATAATAAGCAAAATGATAGTTACAGGTAGGTGGTTTTTTAATCAGGTTGCTCACTTTGTTAGTCTGATGTGACAGGAGCAGTAGCAGATTATTCCTCATTGCTGATGCATCAAACTACCAGTAAGGGAAAAGAACCACACAAAGGGGCATAAACTGGCTGTGAATACATTTTTAAGTTTGAAATCCAGGGAAACAAGATTTGTTACCATCAGAAGAATCAGATTCTGGAATAGTCTTCATATACACATGGGGTGGGAGCGGACGAAGAGGGAGGAATATTCATTGTTTTTAAGATGGTGCATAATAAGTTTTTTAAAGGGAGTACACTACATAGTATTTTTCAGTAACAGTGGACTGGATTCACACCAAAGGATGCTGCTTCCAGGCCCTGTTTAAATTCATGAGCTGTTTTAGTTTAAATCATCATAATAGTGTGAATGATTAATGGTTCTATGCCTGCACATAAAGCATTTAGACCAGTGGTTTTAAACCTTTTTCATTTGCAGACCCCTAGAAAATTTTGAGTGGAGGTGCAGACCCCTTTTAATTGCAAGTGGTGGTATTCACATACTTTTGATTGATTATAGTCATTTTTCGCAGACCCCTTAGACATAGCTTGTGGACCCCCAGGGGTCCATGACCAATGGTTATTTTCCCTGTAAATAATGCATCACATATACTTTGTGCTGTACTGCCTAAGCAGGCAACTTAAGTAAGTCTTGATTCAACTATGTTAGAGGAATCTAGCATCATTCTGTTTGTTTGCTTGTTCCTTACCTAATTCAATGTAGGCTCCCAGAAGAAGCCAATGTATTAACCGTAGGATATCATGTCATACTTCAGCCCTTGTCTACTTTGATATGTGGACCTAGGCTTTGCTTTTAACATGTTGGGGGGTGGGGAGGGGTGCAGTCAGTAAGGTGTAGGAGGCAATGTATATTTTATCTTTCAAGTTTGTCAATGAACTGTTAAGCTTTTTCATACAATTTTCCACATTAATTATGCCTCTGAGGCACAAATGCTACAGGCATGCAAGATTGCTGTTCACAGAATCCTGGATTTTTAGGACCATTCTTGCTTGCTGGGAGCCCTCATGATTATTGTAGCTGAGCAAATTGGGGAAGGACAGCCTCAGTTGCCTCTCAGTTTTTTCTTACTGTTTACAGCTCTGTGCTAGAACCCTGCTCCATCCCTGTGTCTTCTAAAAGAGAAGAGCTAGAACTATTGTTATTCTAATTGTTAGCTAATAGCTATCAGGGATGTTATGCTAATTGTTGTTGGGCTAATTATGCCCAACATTTTAACTAAAATTAAATTAGTTTTCCCTTAGGAAACAGGGCAGTAAGGTTCTTCCATCACACCTTGCTATAATCTCCTGTACACAAGCCCAAAATGACTGCATGGAATGTACAGTATTCAAGATATGCCCCTCATATGATAAGGCAAAGCCCATGGATGGTGTCTGTTGTAGAGCCTTATTATGTTTAGAATGGGTCATACGTCCTAGGGCTGTTCTCGGTGCAAAACTGTTTGAAGCACGTCCTTGACAGCTAAAAAGGGCCGTTGTTTTCTAGAGACACCGATGAAAAAGGCCTCTCACACAGCCAGATGGAGAAACTACCTCATGGCCAGTTCTGCTCTTGTAGGACTGCTGTGTGCTATAGTGTCAGCCCAGCTTCTGTCGAGGTGGACAGGCCTGGCTTCCACTTTGACTTAGGACACAGGTCACCCTGCTTTCCATTAAGTAGTGCATTGTTTTGGAAGAGTCCCACATAAAGTACTTGTAGAGTAAGGTACTTGTAAGGGTGACATAACGTAACTTAACCCCATGTGAATATTGTGGGACTACCCAGTGAGACATCTGATAGCTATGTAGAAAGGCTGACATTTCCCAATAGCAGTTTCTAGCTCTTGTTCCTGTTTGAACAACATGCCTCTTCAAATCTGATCTCTCTTGTAGATAACTTTCAGCCCAAATAAATAGTGTTGTTTTTTTTTCATTAGGCTGAAAATATTTTCAGAAGAAAGTGTACCTCTGTTTGGGCCACCTCTTCCATCCCCACCTGTGTTTACAGATCACCAGGAATTCAGGGACTTCGTGCTAGTAAAATGTAAGTCAGTCTTTTTAATGCTAACAGTAATTTTAATTCCTAGGATCAAAGCCTGTTTCACCTTTACAGGCCCATGTGGCACTTGTGTATGCTCAGAAGGCTGTTTTCCTGCACAGGCTCCTGCATAGGATTCCTAGGGACCTACTCAAATTGAGGACGTAGGCAGCCTATTTTGCAGGTAGATCATGGGGCTGGCTGCCATTTTTGCAGGCTTATTGTGGCAGGGTGCGGGTGCCCCCCCCCCCCCCCCCCCCCCCCC